CGCCTACTGAAGACCTGATAATCGCCCTGAGATACAAGTTGCTCCACTACAACCACAAGCACTACCTCATTTGGAGCATGTGTCCTGAGGATGACAGACTCAAGGACAGGAGCTGGAGCTTGTCCGCACATCAGCTGCCCAGTTCCCAGAGAGTGCACAGTTGGATCTCTACTACTCACATTATAGGGAATGATGATGTGCTCGTATACTCTAACCACAGAACACATGCTAGCATTTCATTTGCAATAAGAAAACCTACCAGTGACAACTGAGAAATGTTTTGCAGTCTCATGTTAAATGAAGTAGATGGGTCAGTTCTAAGGTAACTACAGGGAATCAAGGAAATCACCTTGATCCGCTCTAAAATCTTACCACCCAGAAACAGCAATTATAAAATATGGACTCCTCTCTCAATGCAAACAGTTAAACAGAGGTTGTCATGAATATACAGTAATGGCTCATTAAGTATATTCTGAGATTTTGCAAAGGTTATTTTAAAATTTATTTTAAATACTTATTTTTTTAAAAAAGTTACTCAACAGTTTAGGCAGATGGCAAAGACCATAGTTAAATGCAAGATTTTCACAGTTAAGAAACCAAAGTGTTCACATTTGGGTCATTTAACAAAACAAAGGCCAAAATATATAGCAGTTTCCTTAAAAGAGAAGTCAGGCCAGTACTTTGGGAGGCAGAGGCCTGAGGCCAGGAGTTTGAGACCAGCCTGGGCAACATAACAATACCCCATCTCTACAAAAAATAAAATAAAAACATAAAAAAATAAAAAGACTAATAAAATATTCTGTTTAAAAAATCTGAAGTAGAAAACATTTAAACTAGGACAGTTTAAAAATTATAGGCAAAATCTTTTACCTTTAAAGTAAGTATTAAAGAGCCAAAAATTCTTGTGGACTATTAGACCACACAAAACAGAAGAACAGCTGAACTGAATGCCAGCAGCCTAGGCTCACTAAGTGACAGATAAAAAATACACAGTTACAGTCAGTATGCCTAAAATATTTAGCATCCCATAACCAATGTTTACGGCAGCCAATGCTTATTCTTGAGCCTGTCAGACTTGACTCCTTAAGACTTTAAGCTGCTATCTAAAAGAAACGCAGGCTTTGTATAAAAACTGTAGTAATACTTTCAAAATAAAACTTAATTTTACTAAGCCAAATTAGGATGAATTGAGTGCTTTAAAGAATTTGTAAAAATAATTATTTTACAGTTTGAAAATGTGTTGTATCTGCAAATATATTTGTTCTGAGCATCCCATGAACTTAAGGATAAAAATGGTAATGTGAAGTAAGCCTAAATTAAAGAGAGAGATGTAGTAGCCTAATAGTGCAGTAAAGCTCCTTCTAATAGTCTTGGCACAGTGTCCAGGCCTGGTCGGTTCTCTGCTGGGGGCGACTTTCTTGGCTGTGAAGGCAGATCATGCCCTCTGTCACTCATGGGGAGCAGTTCTGCCCAACTGTCTCTTTTCGACAACTTTATCATCAATCTCTTTATTAACAGCTCCACTGCAGTCAGAAAACGCAAACAAGGACTAGTTTTCATGCCAGATTTCTGGAAATCACATAGCACCAGGCATCACACAGTGTGAAAGTTTGTAAGGAGGGTGTCGTGCCAAGAGAGAGACAGCATCCACAAGGAACAAGTGCAAAGTTGGGACATTCTACATTATTATATTAAAATACATATACCTAATCTCTTATGCCTAAAATCTGAAAAGAACCCAAATACCTACTTTTGTGTGTCTGTATAGGGATTGAGAAGGGCACAGCAGTGGCACAGAGATCATTTTACTCCCCAGAAGTAACTTTGTTATTTGCACTTCCAGAAGTCTTCTTAGAGAAAAGTCGGTATTCTACCCAAAAAAGCTCCCGAAAGTTTTAACTATTTTAGGACATGACATTATTAGAAAACACACAAGACTGAGATAAATGTCTGCAATGAGCTGTAAGAAACCCATAAAACTGAAATGTTTGAATTATTCAAAATACATATTTTCAGCATGAAATCTGTTGGATCAAAAAATAACATCTTACAAATTAATTAAAGGAAATGCTTCTAAAAGGCTTGTGAAATATTTTTAAGAGACTTAAGATTTATTTTAAAAACAGGTCATAATCACATGACTAATGTAAAAATTTTAAAATCAAGGTTAAGTGAAAGCTGAGCATACTATTTGGATAGTTCCAAATTACTGGGATATATGGTAGACTAGGTGAGACTTTATAATTTAACTGTTAATCACATTATAACCAGCGAGACTAAAACCTGTCATAAGTCAAGATTTATCCTTAATACTTTCCCTTTAGTCTGTTTTGTATTTCAATCTATTGATCTAATTGCTTGAAAAACACAATAACAAAATGAGTATTATTCAATGATTACTAAAATGTTTTTAAGGCTCTGATACTATATAGTTGAATTTACACTCTTCTAAAATTATGCCTTTTGCTGTGGTATGTCTTACGGCACTTGATGCCTGTCTATGCTCAGAAGGAAAAGGGACTCTACTGCTAAGACAAGTTCAAGCCCAGAGTGGATCAGCTTTCCTTGTTTTTTTACTCCACAATGGAAAACAAAACCAACACATCCTTAGGCTTTCCCCAGTCAACTCTGGAACCCAGTGAGATAACTGGGGAGGGTTTAGCATAAATCCATTCTGACCATTAAAAAACAAAAACAACACATACAAACAAAAACTCTTAAGCTGGGTGGCACAGAGCATTATTCTGGACCTTAGAAGTATCAAAGCAAAAAATATAAGGCTTTGATTAAAACTAAAACAAACACACAGAGGTCTGTTCATTATTTGAATAGCTATATTTCCCATCACCCAGGTGGAATTTAAAGATACCCAAACCAGAGGGAAAATGACTGCAGTCTTATTTCCATTAAACAGTAGTTAAACTCAATAAACTCTAAACAGTACTGTGCCCTTTGTAGATGATTTTTAGCTAGATTAAAATATGAAGCATATTAAAATTGGAGGAAAAATGCACAATAATGAAAACCACAGCCCTCCACACATACATATGTGAGGTTTCTGAAAAAGGAACTTAAGTATAGCCTTACTTCTACCCTTTCAAGAAAAGGCCTGTGAAGGGGGAGTGGGGGGACAGGCTACAAAGAAAGGAAAAATTACTTAAAATTCCATCCCTTTCAACAAAATACTTGAGTGGTTTGATCAGCTGCAATGATGTTCCCAGAATATTGAGACAAAACCATGTCTCTGAGGAAGAAGAGCAGAAGTTGAAATGATTTCCCAAGTATATGAAATCACTTCCAGAATGAAGTACAATCACTTCTGAAATACATGGCTCAGAAATATTGATGCCATCTTTCTCATCTGGTGCCAATAAAGCTATATAAAATGTAACAAGAATTTTTTAATTGATAAGAATACAGAAAGAAGAACTGATTCTACAAAAATGAAAAAAAAAACTTCCACAAATTAAACATCATTTATCTTTATATGACTAAAGGTCATGTTTATTACAGAACACACTTAATACTTCATTTACGAAGTTCAGGTCTGAGTTAAGACAGCATCCATTTGTGATTTGAGCTTGAAGAAAAGCTAATAGAAGAACAATATGGAGAACTAAAAAACAAAAGGAAACAAAATTCAGGCTAAAAGGCAACTAATTTTCCTTGTACTATTCATTTTTATTATAATTAAAATAGGCAAAAGTATATCAAAAGGACTGTTCAATGCCTTTTTAGGTAAACAGTTTGTCTTTTTGTTTAAGTGCATTTAAATGCATTAACATAATATTTCCAGGGCTCGATCTATAAGTTTTGTATATTAATGACTTATCCTTTCATATATCAATTACTACTTGGAGCTGCTGATCATTTTATTGCCACCTTGAATGCAGCCAGAATTAATATTATGCAGCACTCTAAAACATTTTTCTGTGTGAAGAAAAAAAAGAGGCATTAATTAGAAAAATAGGAAAAACTTTATTCCAGAATATACCTAGAGCCACAAAACATACAACTTTCAATTAGAATGTTACTAATTCAGCAAGACACATGAAATGTCAAAAGACCGTGTGGATGATAAAACTCATAAAGTGTAGTATTCAGTCCCATGTGTAGGTGTCTATCAAGGCAGATGTGAAGTACAGCAAGTTCAATTCTGGTGGTGTTAACAATGGAGTCAAGAGTAATTTTTATGCTTTCCCTTTTACTGAATAGTCTTAAAAGTTAAATTTTATTTTTATTAAAAAGTTGTCCCACATTGCAGCCATATATTTTTATATATAGGGAAGGTATTCAAATTTGGAATTTTACAAATGAAATATAAATGACTACATGTCCCTCAGAATAATGGTTTCCACATAAAGAGGGCCATCCCTCCTTCCTCAAAAAACTTAAGATACCCAAGAGCTGGCCATCACAAATACAAAGCAGTTCATTCCTAATCCATGAGTTAAGTTATGCAGTGTTGAGCATTTTGGGATTTAAGAAAGGCAATGTCTGATTTGGATTTAGTAAAATAAGAAACATGGAATCCTGGCTGGTTGAGGGCTATAATTCTAAATTCACTGAAAAACAACAGTGCCACCTGCAGACATCAGAGATAAAGTGCCAAATGCTTTGAAACCCAATAGCTTTGAAAAGGAAGCACACTTGTCTACATGCACAGAATACATACATAGATAACAAACAGTGTCTACAGACACAAAATAAATATTTTAGAGGTCAGAATAGCTAAAAGTGAATTAACTATATTCATGTTTTCCTCCCTAAAGATTATATGAAAAACAAATACCTGATTATTATGTGACATATAAATATTTCGCTGCTGCTAATGGCTTAGGTTAACCAGAAACCATTCTTTTTCAATGTAACCAAAGTAAATTCTTTTGCAAATCTTCACTTAGAGCCAACTATAAACTTCTAAATAGAACCAATTAAGTCACTAAAAAGAAAAAAAAAAAACAAAACAAGAATAGTCAAAAGAAATCAGCCAACTATGGGATTGTGCTGTTTTTTTTTTTTATTGTGTTTTCAATGGAGAAATACATCATCTGTTTACAAAATAGCTCTTGAAAAATACAAGGAGTACAGATACTATAAAACAAAGCAAACTCCAGTCATGAGACACTACATACATCATGCGAAAGCAACAGTCTGATCTCCAGGTTATGAAAACTAGAATTAAAAAGTCACTACACAGAAAAGGTCCAAGTTTCCAGCTTGGCAAAACTTGGGTGCAGTTACATGAAACGTTGAATAAACTGAATTGTTTTCCCCAATGTGTAAACAAAATGACAAGACTAAATCTGTGCCTGGTAATTTCAATCTAACTCTGAAGCTACACAAAACACACAGACACCTTGTACACTTCACCTGTTAGTATGACCATCTTTTCTCATAGGTGGTGGGAGGAAGGGCAAGGTGACTGTGCAAAGCGCGGATGTGGGAAGTAGAAAGATTGTGTACTAGACGTCGTAAAGTCATGGTGAAAAGAAAGCCTCAATTAATGCATAGCCTAAGGGGGGAAAGACTACACTCCAACTTCGGAAAATTAATTTAGAAGGATGGGGAAGAGTTTAAGTAATTGCAGTTTAACATGAAAAATGCACATGTGATAGAATAGAGCACAATGGAGGATTCATAAACATGCTCATCAGAAAAATCTGTTAGGTTTATTTTGTCCAGATTAAGAAAGAGTAACTAAGTTTTTATCAACATCTGGCATCCCGCATACTTTGTAAAGATAGATGTTCTGCTGCTTAATTATGAGAAATTATTTTCTTTAAAGAAAGTTCCTAATCTTTTGATAAAATAAAAAAGGAATAGAGAGCTGATTAGATGTCAAGTGCTTGTTAGAAATGATTTTTTAAATGTTTCTATATGTAAAATTTACTGACAAACTTTGGTAAACCATTTAAAAATAAAAATTAGCTTTAAAATCTTGGAGAAAATGCCTCTTTGCCCATGTTTAAAATTGAAAATCAGTTTTACTACAGACAGGAGTTCTGTGGAGTGTACAAAATTCCTCTTACTTAGAGATCAAACGGCCATCCAAGATAGATATCATGTTTCACAGGCATTACTTTTAGTCACCCTAAAGTTTCAGCCACGGGACCAAAATTTAGTGTTCTGTGCCATGTGGCCACAGGGTCATTGGTTTTACATCATGGCTTAAGAAAATACTGGCATTTTGTTTCTTATGAAGTAAGTCCTACCTTGTGCATACAAGCAAAAAGAAAAAAGAAGAAAAGATGGGAAGAGGAGGTGCAAAAAGCTTTTTTTGTTTGTTTTGAAGACAACAGATCGAAGGCAAAAGAATACAGAGCTTCCATAGCTCAAAGAAAAATATTTGCTGGCTGATCGCTGATCTGTATGCACTATAAAACAATTCTATAAATAAAACCAATATATCATTTCTTAATCATGACCCCATCAAAACCAAGTATTTCCTAATTATTCTTTCAATGTCAAATGTACCCTAAAGTTGACATTTAATTTTTAAAGGTTATAGCTACCCCATAGGGACTGAACTAGATGTACTCTTATCCTTTCTCTGAAGTATAACAGTACACCACCGCACAATGGTATCCAATTTGAAGACTAATGGTAAAGGAAATTCTTCAGGAAAAAATAAAAATCCATCAAGCTGAAAATCTAAAATTAGTTCTACTTTCTAATAAAAAATACATAAAAGTGCATCATCAGAATAAGTAATTCTTATGCCAGTTTGTATTGCAAATTTTCTAAACAATGCATCAAACATAAACCCAATCCAGATGTCAATTATGGATACAAATATAGCTTGAGGTGATTTTTTTTTTTGTTTTTGTTTTTTTTAAAGGCAGTAATTTTTTGAAATTGTTAATGCAACTGTTGCTAACACAATAATAATAGTACTCCTGGCTTCACATACTAACCTGGACTTCCGATCAAGTGCTGATTAGCCCAGTAAGGGAGGTCACCAAAAAAACCCAAATCCATTTTCAGTCATGTCTAGTCTTGTACCCTCCATTCTCCTTTTTTAGCATTTGAAGACAACAGGTTGAGTTGGCAGATATTGTTTATGGACCCCTGAGGTTGTTTTTACCGATTCAATCTCAGTTTTATTGAATTCTTGATAACAGGAATAGGATTTGCAGGGAGAGCAGGGATATCAGAAAGGTCTGTACTGGATGTTTTCTGAGAATAAAAGCAAAGAACACAACATCGTTCAAAGCACTATAATTTAATGATGAGATGTATTTTCCATTGCTTTACTTTCTAAGAAATGATGGAACTTTATCATGAGAAAAAAAGTATTAAAAATTTAAAGAAAAATACTCTAAAACGTTCTCAAAAATGGAATGCAAATATGACAATTACTACATTTGTTCTATAATTGTAGGAATTTAAGTATGAATATTTTAATATTTTAGCAATATTAAAAATTCCTAAGTAATTTCAAATATAGCTTTCAAAAACACACTCCTCTAAGAATCACCTATCATATAATTAAGTTAATCCTGAACTGTATTTACTTATTATAACACTAATAGCTGTAATATTAACTGGTATTGGAGCACCCCCATGTGGGAAAATACTTAAAGTTCACCTTATACACAGAAGCAGCAGTAAATTTATTAATTTCTAACACTGTAAATTATAAAATTAAATCTATATAGCTGACCAATAATTTAATTATCCTATATTTTAGGTGGGTTTTTATTGTATTAAATAGATTAAATCACAAGACTTCTTTAACATTCAAAAATAGAGATGAATTTTAAAATGCTTTATTATGGAAAATTCCAAACATACCCCAGTAGAGAGTACTGTATAATGACTCCCCATGTATTCATTACCCAGCTTCATCAATTGTCAAATCAAAGCCAATCTACTGGCCTCCCACCTTTAATCCCTGTGTTATTCTGAAGCAAATCCTAGAGATCCTATCATTTCATCTGTAAATATTTCAAGATTTATCTCAAAACAATAAGAACTCTTTGTTAGATACAGCCACAATATTATCACCTTCCTAGAAATAAGTATGTCCCTAATATCACTAAACACAGTGACATATTTTTTTTAATCAATATAATCATTCTTTTTATAACTGGGTGGTTTTTCTCCCAGTGGCTCTAGGAATCCTTTCTTTAGAAAGAAAATTCTATCCAGGTATCGTGGTTCATGCCAATAATCCCAGCACACTGGGAGCCCAGCACTTTGGGAGGCCAAGGTGAGAGGATACTTTGAGGCCAGGAATTCGAGACCAGCCTAAGCAACATAAAAAGACCCCATCTCTACAAAACAAAAACAAAAAAAATAATTAGCTGGGCATGGGAGGCATGTGCCTGCCATCCCAGCTACTCAGGAGGTGGGAGGATCATTTGATCAGGAGTTTGAGGTTGCAGTGAGCTGTAACTGCACCACTGTACTCTAGCCTGGGTGACAAAATAAGACCCTACCTCTAAAAACAAACAAACAAACAAACAAAAGCCAGAAAGAAAATTCCACTTGCTCGTAAAAATATCTAAGGCAAATATCCATGGATACTAATTATTACAGGGATGAACTCAATACGACAAAACGATGAAAATAGTTCCTTAGAGAGTAAGGTGGCAAACCAAAAGACATGCAATCACAATCACAGGACAGTTTAAGTTTCATCAACAAGTTTGTCCATGTATCAATATTAAGTGCAATACTTCCTAATGTTATTTTAATTACCCGTCCCCCGAGTTTTATTAGATAAATATTATGGAAATAAAAGATACTCCAGAAACTACACATATTTATATATCTTTAAAGACTGAAAGCTAACATCCAGCAAAAGCACATTTTTAAATGATCACAGTAAAATAACTCTATGCCACAAAGTGGCAAAATGATAATTGTATTATCAGTATAGCAATATTACTAGGCAGCCATTATCTCATTTACTTTGTAAAGGTTAACCAGTTTACTATCTACTTAAAGAAAATATTTACTTTGTGTCAGAGTTTGACCCAGATTTTGAGGTTTATTCAATTTGAAAGGAGAATTCAAGAAGAAAACAATTATTTCATAAACAAAATGAAGGTTCACAAATCAACGAAAAAAGATTCCGGATGTCTGCTGTATACTGTAAGGGACTGTCACAAGTAGAATTGCTTGGACAAGTGAAAAAATAATTCTGAGTAACTATGGGTTATACTAAATAACTAACTGAAAACTAGTAGTGAAAACTGAGGCAGAAACACATTTTAAAAATTAAAAAGGTAGTATTAACCCTACAAAAAAAATCCACATACAATGGATGGTTTTCAGTTCTTTCCTAGTTTAAATTTCATTCTTTGACCTATAAATAAAACCTCTGTATGAATCCTGTATACATTTAAATGATTTGCAATATTAAATAATATATAAGGGAATGAGTTAGAAACTAGACAGCACAAAAGAAAGATTCCATTAAATCCAGTGCCTTGCCTTAAAACCACAATAAATATATTTATAGGCTAGCAAGTACTTACTTTCACAAAGATAATTTTAATACTCTTCTATGAATTCTCATTTTAATTCAATATACCACACTAACCTTAAGAACATTTACAAAACTCTCCTTGCTTTTTACACTTAGTACCTGAGAGGCCAACAGAGAAGCCGCTGTCTGAATAGTTTCTGATTGAGTTGTACTTGTCTCTGTATCAAGCTGTTCCTGTGAGACAAAGAGGATGGGGAGGGGGGAAAAGAGACTTAAAAAAAGAATAAAAGAACATAACTGGGTTTGGTGGCTAATAAAAAAAACAAACTGGAAGACAGGAGGGATCAAGAGAAAGAAGTGACTACATCACAAAATCATCTATTAAGCCTCATTATGGGTTATGTCACCATTTCGGATATTTGAAAATTTCTATTTGCCTATTTAAATCTTATAAGGCCTGGTCAAAATACCCCATGACTTTCCAACTAGCTCCAACTTGGACAATAAGCAAACAATAATTAAAGACATACACAGGCACATTATAAATGTTGCCCAGATGATAACTAACAGAACCTAAACCAAAGGAAAGCTCTTAGCTATGTGGAAAAAAACAAAACCCATTCAATATTGTTAAATAAAATTATCCAGAAGCACAAAATTTGCCTCATGCCTTTATTTAAAAATGTCTCTAAAAGATTTCTCCTCCCTTATGGTTTTTACTCCCCTCACTCAAAATCAGTGCACTGATTCTACTCTAAGTATAATCAGAAAACCCAGGGTAAACCATGTCATTCCACTGCTCAAAACTTGTGTAAGGCAGTGCACAAAAGAATATATAATACACACAAAATGAAAATAAACATATTAAAACTTCAAT